CAAATGATTGGCTGAAATGTGCCGCTGCGCGGCACATGTCAGCCAACCATTTGCTCCGACAAAACAAATTTCATGATCGTTGCATGACCAATATCTTATACATATTCTGTAAACATAGTTGTACAAACTTAAGTCAGTTGACATATACCTTATTCAGCAGTTCATTATTTCGTAGGTCATTTGGGTTCTCCGGATAAAGATCATAAAGATCAATATAAATTTTACGTAACGAAAACTTTAATTAGCGTTAAATTAATATACACATATTTAAACCCAACATTGATTAATATACAAACATACAAACTTGATATTTCCTGTTTACCAATTGTTCATTCGTGAGACTACACGTTTGATATTTCCCCAGAAAATATGTAATAGGATCAGTCACAACGTAGCACGAGTAAGATCATTCAACACCGATATATATATACCACTTTATTAGAAACGATAATGTAATTATTGCGTATATATACAGTATATCGTTTTCAATTGCATATAAAATCGACTTTTATTCAAGTGCATTAAGAATTCTCTATCCTGAGTTCTATAGCACGTTAATTTATTTTAGACAATATCAGAATGCTATTTTTTGCGGGTTTTGCAAGAGCAGCACAATTTAAACGGTCGTTGTCTGCCTTGGTTTCTGCTACTTCGATAGCCTTGCTTCAAACTAAACAACGACTAAGCGTTGTTGGTATATTTGGTACAAACTTTGATCTCCTGCGATCAGAAGATAATTCTGAAAATGGCAATGCTGCGAAAAGAGCGACGACAAAAATGCCAGTAAGGCCAAACTATCGTGCCCCGAGATTACCTATCGTTTTGTGCCACGGTATTTTGAATGAACTCGATTTTTTAATTTAAAAGATCATTATTCTCATTCATTTTTTTTCTTTAGGTCTTTTTGGTTTCGACAAACTAGGTATGTATCATTCTTTATTATGCTCACGTCAATTGATTTTACTTTAATTATAATTATTCTAACTGATGCATGTTAAGGTCCATCCTCTATTCCATATTTGCAAATACACTATTGGAGTGGTATTGAAGAAGCCTTA